GGGCGACAAACCACGGAAAAGAAAGAATGAGTTCTATTGTACAGGACAGACGTCATAGGATTCAAAGTTAGACAATCTATGACACCGATCCCCGGAATCTCTAGGTCGCAAGTTTCACCTCGATGGACTAACTTGAGGATTAGTAATCTAGGATAACGAAATCCATGAAAGGATATTTGGATCATGGTAGAGATACTTGTTTATTCCGGAATCCTTGGTATTCCGACTGCTACGTTAATTTCTTAATTTCATGGATAAACTATCGTACATTTGGCAGAAATTAGATTCTCTTGTACTCCCTCTTGGTACGTAACAACGTTAAAGGATTGCGTGAATCACGCAAGGCACGCGATCAGCGAAAGCCCCTTGCGAGTGAAATTTTCAAATATTTACCCAAGGGAGACTCGCTTCCACCATAGGTAAAGTAAGCGGATTTTTATATACTCTTCTCTCCAGGATTCCTTTAAACGACTTTACCCAGACGTAGCGTCTGGCAAGTTAAAACGTACCGTGTAATAAATTCTGTCTGTTGCAATTTTAGGCTTCGAGTGTTTTCCTGAATGTTCCACGCTAATTTGGGTCGTGGTGTCACGCGTTGTGGAAACAGATGCGATGACCTCGTCGTAACGCTGTTTTAGCGATACGTTAGGGTAACCGCGAGACGTTGTTAGAGAGTTTGTACGATGAGGATGATGCACGGAATATCACACGCGATTAGAACTTTTCCGATCGGCGTTCTCGTGCCGCGGACCATAAAGACCTGCGCTGCGTTGGAAGCAGGGAAAAAAGAAAAAAGGATTAGGCGAAACTGGGACGAACGGTGCCTTTGGCTCGAACCGTTTAAACACTTACAATTGAACTCATTTTCCGAGCAATTAGCCTCGCTCGATTATCGCCGTTTATTCGTGGAACAAAATAGTACAGTACCTGTTTTCCTGAGTTAAAAATATTGAAAGTCCTGAAACTGTATACCGGTAATTAATAGTTTCTTCTCTATCAGGTAACACGAACGTACGTTTCTGACAAACTAGCCGACGATAATACGCCAAACGAGCAAAGTGTTGACTGTCCGATTGGATCGTTACCGCTTCAGAGCCCAAAGCCAAGAGAGGATTCGAGGCTTGCGGGAGATTTTCACGCTTCGTCGAGGAACGCAGACCGTTTAATCAGATCGAAGGATGTCTCGCGAGAGAACGCGTAACACGCGATCGAACATTCAGTGAACCCTAGTTTTAGGGTGACAAATCGGATCCTTTCAGGCTGGCGACCAGTAAATTAAGAATTTTTCATTCGTTTCTAATTTTGTTACTTTCCAATTGATTCTGTTTCAATACGGGGGTGTAATCCCCCTGGCAAACTTTGTTTCCTCTCACATCTGACTAACTGATTCTATTTTATATTCGTTTCAGGTCGCTTGGAACATTATAAAGACAAAATATTGGAGGAAAATAAAGGGGAAGAGGAGACAATATAGAAATCCTACGTGCAAATTATGAATCTAACTTGATTGAAGAGACAGAGATTGAATGTTTATTCGCGTCTACGTAGAAGTTAGAAGGTATTTTCTCGAGAGCAGTAGGTCACCTATTCTAGTCAGCTTGATGCCGGCCAGATGAAATCCTAGATCGACGGTTACCATACCGACCAACGGCCTCTCCCTTTATTATTTTCCATACCCCAAGTCTCTGTACGCCGTCGTATCCAGCTGGATTCCCTGCCCACCCTTGTTGCGTACGATTACAGGCCGAGGTGCTTTCATTCAAAAACCCCCCAGCGTTCTATTTTCTTTTTTTTCTTTCCATGAAGCTTTCGACAGATTGCGTTTAGACGAATTCAATAAGGAAATGTCGATTCGGGGACCGGTAATAATATTTCAATCCATGCTCGCGACTGATTCCATCGTCGAGGGCTTCCTGTCAACCCCCATAAAATTCGGTGCGAAACTACAATGGATTTTTGATGAGGTTTCGATCGAACTTTTAAAAAATCGTCGAGGAAAATAAAGGGGAGAAGCTGTGTTTACTTGGGATTTTAATATTTCAATTTCTTTTGTATAAATAGTTATTTTAAAAATGTAAGGTAAATGTGAGCATTAGCTGCGCAACTCTTCTTGAACAAGTTTTAAATTATGAATTTTATTTTTCCTTCGTATGTACACGTTACAAATGAAACTGTAAAACTTTCAGGAATGCTGTCTGAAAGTCCTCGACACAGAAGCTTTGGACGAGCATCGAGATCCTGATGCATCAAACATTTAACAGGCAAGAAACGAGGAAAAATTGTTTCGTAGCCTTGTCTCTACGTGAGTCCACTTCGAACGAGGCCGGCTATATATTTTTGCCAGACCGAGTGTTGTTCGTATAAGGAAACAATGTCGAGTTTTACGCAACTCATAAACACGCGAACGTGACTGTCTCTTAGCGAGATAGCGTACGTGTTGCCATGACTGTTTGCAGAAACATTTTTCTAGGATTAGGAGGATCGTTGTGTAAAGAGGAAAAAGGTCCGAAGACCAAGGCGACGAGACCTTGAAGACAAGTACGCAAAATGAAAAGAAACCATTCCATCTTTAAGCGTAATGGATCGTGTCATACCTGGACGATGCTTCATCGCTTCTTGCGCAACTTCCTTCGTTTCATTCGATTCAATTCTTGTTTCCTACTCGTCGATCGATTCGCTCTTCCTACTTCCATAGAAGTAGATACATTGTAATGGAAATAATTAGATGAATAAGAAGGCAAATATCGAGAACTTTTAAGTAAGGGAAATTTTGTTTTCATTAGTAATTGGGTTAGTAATCACTCTTGGATTATTATTCAAGTTTAAACATGTTCATCGTTACCGTGTAATTAATATGTACATTTAGTGCCGATTGTATACTTTAATTTTATTCTAGGAAGAGGGGAGAATTCTCGTCGTCCTGTTCCAACTCCCAGAACAAGCTTTCCCATGGAGAAAATCTATTATTTTCGTAAGAGAACCTTGTCCGGAGAGAAACGAATTACGTAACAAAATTTCATTTACGTAACTGTGAAAAAAAAGTGGAAGAAGCGATGATTCATTCGTCGCTCAAAGTCAGAGAAGTATTTTAATTCAAATGTAATTGAAAACTGATCTTTTAATTGCCATCTACTGCCAGTTACATCTATCCGACTGAATTTACCTCCAACTTTCTTCAACGACGTATCAGAGCGATTAGAAGGCGTCCAGACGAACTTCGTGTTCCATGTTTCATTACACGGCAGAAGCATGAAGTTCAGTGATTAAGCAGCGATGCAGTTTGCAGGGGAAACACACACGATATCCTTACGTGCACTCGTCATCATATTACATCATTGATCCAGCGATTCAATAGACGACAGTGAATAGGAAACATTAAAGTATTGTTGATAGATTGAAAGAGATCGATATCGCAAACTAATTCGTCAAACAATCGCCACGTGATGGATTGATTATATGTTATTCGGTGGAGCGAAAGGATAAGTGGAAAAGAATCGATTTCTCTGTTATTCATTGGAAGGTATAAACGATGCATTTATTATTTGTTAGTCATATTCTCCTTGGTCAATATTACTTAAGCATACAGACAGTGGAAAGATTAATAATTGTTCATAATTCAGTCCAAAAATAAATTCTTTATCTTGCAGGAATAATATTTAGCAGTACGCTTAACACGTAATTTGCATTACATGACACACGGAATTTATATGCTACCTCACTGAGACTTTGGAATTTGTAGTTTTAAACCTCAATCGTAAAATTAAACTGATAACTATAAAAAATAGATGTCACGATTCTAATGCTAACAGTTGGCTCACGGTTTATTGAACAGCGTAATTAAATACACGATAAAAAATACAATGACTAGTCCCTTCGAAGAGCTTTGCAGACAAGACTTAGTCGATAATGCGTTTAATGTGTCGTGAACGCTGCCCTGTGTTTCCCGGATGTAGACAATATCTTGCCCTTAGATGCTCTGATGCGTGACACATGTCAAAGGATTACGACACGATCGAGGTCCGAACATACAAGGCCTCGAAAATGAGAATAGGTCACTGACAAAACAACTCGACGATTTAAGTTGTTCAAGATCAGTAGAATAAATTGTCGCTTAAACGAAGAATACAATGGTAGAATTTAGAATAGAATCGATATACAGATTTACAAACAGAGAAACTGGATTCGAGCAACGACTTGATGATTGCTGAGACACGAAAAGTTTCTGAAGCTTTATCCTCGATCCAAGTTATGGCTTCTAAGTAAATGTTTCAAACTTCTCTTAGTCATAAATTAATGCTTAAACTAAACTAGCTTCAAACAAATTATCAATTGCAGTTGTTATGAAAGGATATTATTCTGTAATTTTTATAATAACAAATTTTTAATAGATACTAACTACTGTGTGATATTATTCGATACCTTTTCATACGCAATATTCTCCGTGGAAAATATGAATGATTAACCTTTAAAAATTACACGCGAAAATTTAATTTTTTCACGTTATAATGTTCGAGAGTAATTGCTTGACAAATTTGTATTTTAAAAAGGCCGCCATAAATCAAAATCTTTAAAATTTTGACCACAGCGCCATCTATTCGAAAACGGCGGAAACTACTTACCAACTAGTTTTCAGCCGTTTCCTCATAGGTGGCGCTAGTGTTCCATGTTCCAGAAACCCGGTAAGTAACTTGTTGAGTAGTTTCCGCCGTTTTTCAAATAGATGGCGATACAGTCGATTTTTTAAGATTTTGGTTTATGGCGGTCTTTTTAAAATACAAATCTTGCGCTGATTTTGACTGCTCGAATTTGATATTAATTTTTATGGGCGATACAATTTTGCAATCAATTTGTAATTAACGTGTGATGCCGCCAAAGGATTAATAACGAAGCCTTCATCTAATAATAGTGCAATGTGAAGTGCTACATATTTTTATACCAGGGTAAAGCAGATGACGCTCGTTCTCGAGGCACAATTTAAGAACCCTGAAAGCCAAGTCCAATCTTGTTGGATCTGTAGTCACTGGTGATCTTTGATGGAATTTGGGTTAGGTTTGAATGAATTGTATACTACGTTTTACAATCCATTTGTGATTATCACGATATTATTTTTGATATCATAGATTATCGTATATTTATAACGTAAGGTATTAAAACATGCTTCGATTCGGCGCTAGAACTGTCCGTAATGCTTTAGGAAGCAGAGCTTTCGCAAATGCACCGGCTACGGAACAAGCAATTTCAACCACCTTTAAAGTTCAAGATCCAAAAGATTTTAATGAACGTGTGAAAAACTCTAAAGTACCTGTGATCATTGACTTTTTCGCAACGTACGTAAACATTTCAATTATGCAATAATTAATAAAGATCATTACTGTATGTAATTTATCTTATAGATGGTGCAATCCCTGTCGCATGCTTACACCACGTATAGAATCGGTAGTTGCAGAAAAACAAGGAAAAGTTTTATTGGCAAAAGTTGACATTGATGAGAACAGTGATCTTGCATTGGATTATGAGGTTAATTGATATATTATTTAGTTTTTAATTATTTATTATTCTTTTTTACTTACTTCTTTTCTATTATTATAGGTAGGGTCTGTTCCAGTATTGATTGCAATGAAAGATGGAAAGGTTTTAGATAGAATAGTTGGTCTTCAAGATGTAGATAAACTCAAACAATTTGTAGATAAGTATGCAGAATAATGTAGTCTATTTTAACTATAATCTTGTTATGTAGTTAATGAGATACTCTTTTGTAATGTCTTATCAGGTAATAAGTGTATAGTAAAAAATACCATTCTTTTGTAAATTATATCCTTGACTGTATAAATTGTTAATATATAAGGAATTGCTAAATAAATATCTCACATAACAAACAGGTAAATTTGATTTATAAATTATTTACAATATTTAACTATACATTCAGTATGTAACAAAAAATTTTGTTTGTAGGGAAGATGGGAAATATACAAAACATGTAAACAATGTATTATAAAAATGATTAAAATGAAATGGTTTGTCAATGTCTTGTTACAATTTCAATGAAATTATGTCTCAGTAGGTAAAGCTTGTAAAAGCTTTCTTGCCCTTTGATAAGCAACAGATTCAATTTCATCTTTGTTTTCTCCATTTTCTTCTATTTTTCTTATGATATCCATACCTTGTTTTAGAAGCTGTTCTCTTGCCATTCCTTTACATCCTTCAAAGTACTCTAACACTATAGGAAATACATCATCTGGGATTGAAGTCTCATCCAACAGATTATCCATAAGCCAAATCTGCTTTAGTTTCTCAAATTTCCACTGACTTCGCGCATGTTTCCACTGAAAATATTACATTGAGGTTTTCTTTTTACATCACAAAGAAAAATAAAACACAATTAAAACAAAATACCTTTAACACATATTAAGTCCTTTTTTCATTGCTTCCATTTTACTAGCTATTCTTTTCTCATTATCTTTTATTTGAGCTTTTTCTCTTTTTTCATTTGCCTTTTGGAAGGTTGCTTTGGAGCCTTTGAATCAGTTTCATTAGTTTCATCTGCATCTTCTGTTTCTGCTAAACTGTTGGATGTGATACTAATGAAGAGAACATTTTTATAATTAAGAAACTAATGATTTCATTAATAACTATCTAACTGATTGATATTTTACTTTAATCTTTTCTTTGGTGGCATTGCTTCATCATCTGGTTCCTTTCTATTCATTTTCTTTTTTACCTTTTTAATATTGCTTTTTTCTTCCTTACATTTAACAGTCTCTTCATGATTATCATTTAAGTTATTACTGTTATTTAATTTCTTCTTTGTCTGTTTTAGGTTTTTATTAACTTTTATTTTATTACTAATATTTTCTGATGCATCAGTGTGTTACTTGTTTCCTTTGTAAGATCTGTAAAAAACAATACAAGAAGTTGGTATGGTTTGAATCTAATGAAATAATCAAAAAAAATCATTAAATACAAAAATTATCATATATTCACCTTTTGAATTATGTTTTTTCTTTCATTCGCTTCTGCTTTTTTAAAGCTTAACCTCGAATTTTGATGTATTATCGGTGCTCATCATTATTTTACGGACATACAAATGCAATATCAAATTTCCACTTGAAATAATGTTCTTATTGTTGTTAATATATGTTAATAAAAACATAAAAAATACATTTAAAATATTTAATTTTACTATTTAAATACTATAGTTGGCATGTGTACACCAGTGTGCACGCTGCTCTAACCACTTCAAAACAGATTCAATAATGTTGAAAGAAGTAATATAGAAACATCGAAAACATTATGTTTATAAAGATTTATATTTTATTCATTTATTAAAAATAAATTTCAGCTGTTGAGCACAATATAAAACATACATATATGTATTTATATACATGCATCTTCGTGCCAAGTTTGACACACAGAACTTCAGCGGTACAAGTGAAATTTGTTTCGTATATCATTTATTAATAACAAAGATGGGATACAATAAATTCATTGCATCTTTAATACGAAGTGAAAGTACAAAAGCATTGTTAAAAAGAAGGTATATTTAAATATACAATACTTTGTTTATGTTTAATTTTGAAATATTTTATATTATAAAGGTTATCATTAATATTTTTATGCTTTAACTTTTTAATAGTTTCAAGCTCTGATGAAATATTTTTTTTTTTAGATATAATGTTTCTGGAATATTTTACACCTCAAAATGTAGAGCCAGTACATCAGGTAGAAATGATAAAAATAATGAATTGGATGAGCTTGATAAGCCCCTTAAGTTTTCCACATCTGAAGCGCAAGATGGCCTGCTGCATGGTCAACTACCGACCATTCAGATGCCACCACGGTATCAACCAACAGTTATAGCAATAAGTTTGTTCATTTTTTACATCTATTTCACTCAACTTAGAGAGGAAAATGATATTGACCTGAAAATGGTGGAAAACATACCTATAGAAGTTCAGGAACAAATATATGGAAAGAAAGAGAAAAAATAATAAACAGAGATGTAATGTAGTGTAGTTTTAATATTATTATTGAATTATTGTACAAAATTTCTATGATTACAAAAAGTTTTAAATAAATTATTTATAGTGGATATAGTAATTCACCGTGTATTATATTATTTATCATTTTTTTCCATTCAATAGGAGGAAGACAAGTAATTGTATCTGGTATACATTTATTCCATGTATCATGCAGGATGCCACAACCATTGTCATTATTAATATTAATGGTCCCTCTGTACCATGTGAGTGTACTTTAATATTTACAACACCTGAAGTTCATAAATGGATAACTCATATAAAATGTACAATAATAGTTCAACAACAAGAAATTTTACTTACTGCACATATTGTATGAGTGGAATAACCATTTAAAAAACGTAATATACAGGCATAAACTTGAAGATAAAATTTCATTCTGGTCAAAAGACCTCCAAAAACCAATTAACACCAACCTAAGCTGCAATAAGCAATCATTAGTTTCTAAATCAAGTCAAGATTTAATGACATAAATGAAATGTACCATGGTAAACACTGTATAATAACCCATGTTGTTGGCATTAGGAACAATAAAATGGTAAACAATAATGTTCCTACAAACAGTTGATCAGAATGATACTTGGCAGGAATCAACTCTTTCTCTTAATGGATTCTGTTCTTGCCCAGAAATAGTCGAAATAAGGCAATAATACCTTTTAATTGAATATTAAAAAGCCTAAAAAAAATAAGATCAATATTTCAATTATACCATTGGATCTTTTGTATTTATTTGGTCTTTTACCTTGCTGCATATACATAAATACAATAAGCATGAAAACTGACAAGCGCTAAAAGATCAGCTGCTATTGCTATTTGAAATGTGATGCCAAGCTTTCCAAATAATACCAATACTTTAAAAGCAAAATCCATCACAGGTTTCATAAATATTAAAAATGTCCACCATAAATGTATATGATACAAAAAGAATTTTCCCAGCATATTATTTAAAGCATGGTTTAATTTCAAACCAGCTGGCACACCCATTAGCCAGTGTATTAAATCTTTTAAAAATGTTACTACTTTCTGTAAAATATTTACAAATATCAGTAAAATATTAATCATCATAGAAAAGCACTAGTCAATTTACCTCTGCATTATTCAAAAGTATTTGAGATGGAGATGTATATTCAAGGTAGTGCAATAACAATTGCAATAAAAATATTCCTAATAACATATCTATTACCACTGCAAGTACATAGTTACCAGTTTTCAATGTAAACCTTTTGTTTTGTATTACAGTTATTAACATCCACTTAACATTTTCCAGCCATCCATTAACATGTAAACCAAGGAATGAATATTTTAAAACTGGTGATAATTTGTTCATTATTTTACTGAGAAGAAGTATTGGATAGAAATATAAGAACATGTGATAGACTAACAATGTTTCCTTTATATATGTAAGTTTCCCTTTCTTTTGTATTTCTTTTTCAACTTGTTTGCTCTGTATAATTTTCATTAACTCATAAAAATGATCTCCAGATGCTGTTCTGTAAGCAAACAATTCTGTTTCCTGAAGGGCTAATTGATCATACACTGTAATAACTGTATGACAGTGCAAAGTTGAAATCTTTTTATTGTTTACAATAATGCCTTTTAAACCATAATCGTAAATATTGTCTTTGTGAGAAGCATTGGTATGTAAACATATATTAATCCAATCTAAATTTTTTTATCTACATATCCACGTTTGTGATCTGTACCAGAATAATATCCAATTATATTGGCACATTTTATTGTTTCTAAATTATCCAGTTTACATATACCAATGACATAAAATTTTTTTATTCCAGTATTATCATCATATACAACCTTGCCAAACATATAGCCAGACTTTTCTTTGTAAAGTCTGTTTGGTAAAAAAATTAATAGGCTTTTCATCATATATCTTTGAAAACCAAATTTGTTTCATTGGAGAAATGAATAATGTGCTTGTTCGACACACGTGCGCACTGCTGTCATCTGTAATCCTGCAGTCCTGTGCACAAATATTCAGTGGTGCTCAATATGTCTTTCGTGGACGAAAAATATTCGCTACTTCTAAATGCTTTCTGTTTTCCACGGTTTGAGCGATTGCAAATGAATATTTTAATTTCATTGAAAATTACAACACACTCTGTGATCCTCTGAACGTTGTCAACTAACATGTGTCCGTTTATGTTCGTGCAAGCTCGCATAGTGCATCTACGAAATGTTGACAAGTGGTCAGCTGTTTCCGGTTTATAAAAATATAGGTGGCTCAATAGAAATCCACGAAAAGCCCCGCTAATTACTTTTAATTAAATAAGCAGCATTTCGACTGCATCAGCCGGATAAACAAGCAACGTGTAATGAAGTTGTAATGTACGGTATCTTTTTCCTTAATTTCCTTTTTTCGTTCTTACGGATAATGTTGAAGAAGGAAGAGTTCGAAGCAAGCACACCGAGAAATGGTGATAACTCGCACACGATTGCATCAAATTCAGGAAGTAACGACGTGGCCAAGGGGTCCGCATCAGAAGTCGGCGATAGAAGAGAAATTGGCCAGCAAAATGTTTTCGTATGCCAGAGAAAATATTTGCTTTTTCCTCGCGATTACTTTTACCGCCCTGGCTGTACTACATAATTCGTAAGTTGCAGGTTATGTCAATTCTCTGGTCTAAAATTCATTAGGATGCAACGTGACGTTATTTTGTAATTCGCCTTTATGTTTCTTTACTTGATAACAGATGTTTTGTCAATTAAAAGCATTGTAAGATTTGCTAACTTGCAATAGTAATTATTATAATCTGTTTCTCTCATATTTTATACTTTTCTGTAATTATTTATGTATAACAGTAAATTGTTAATTATTTTTGTTGCAGACCTCCTAAAGTATCAAAGCCTCCATTAGCTAAACCATTCTTTAACCCAAGAGTTCCGTGGTCTTGGATTTTTATAAGGGACACTTAGAAGCTATGATAGAAAGAGTTACAGAGGCTGATTTTAGTTTTGTTATGTATTATGCTCCATGGGATGCAGAAAGTCAAGCAGTACGTCAAGAATTTGAAGAAGCTGCTAGATATTATCATACTCAGGTATCAAAAATATTATAAGACTGTTGTTATGTTATAAGATTAAAACAAGCTTGACTTTCAGATATTTTTTGCTGCTATCAATTGCTGGCACCCAAATTCAGAATGTAGGACTCAGTACAACAAAATCCAAAGTTACCCGGTATTCATGCTTTA